GCCTACTTTGTTAAATATTGCTAACTGGCATCTAGAAGTGATACTGGCATCTAGAAGTAATACATAGTGTTAAAGATATCACCCCTTAATTGTCAGTTATATAAACTCAAAGCTAGAAAAATGTTATAAACACTCTAATGTATATTCATTTGCACAGAAATAAAAGCTTTTTACACGGTGCCTGGCACATGCTGAATATTTAGTGTAACAGAATGGAAAAGATTTTACAAGTTAGTGCCTTTAAAATGAGGAGATCACAATGCATTTCTGACATGGTGTTCCATCTTGGACTCTTATTTTACAATTTATTTAATTCTCAGTGCAGAAACTGTGCTCCCATGATAGAGAGATTTGAGAATCCTGCACCAAGTACTGCTCATCTTGGTCATTTTGCCTAAGGCACTGAGCAAAATTTGTGTCTAGCTTTGACAGTAACAGCAATTACTTCTGTTTTAACAGGAAACATCTAATGCACAAAGGACCTAGTGTACAAGTCTTGTGAGGAGCAGCCGAGGAAACAAAAATTGTTTAGACTCAAGAAAAGGAGGCCTAGGAGGACCTTACCCCTCTCTACTTGAAAGGAAGTTGCACACTGGTGGGAATTGGTCTCCTCTCCCAGGTTACAAGCAATAAAACAAGAGGAAATGGCCTCAAGTTGTGCCAGGGAAAGTTTAGATTGGATATGAGGAAAAATTTCTTCAGTGAAAGCATGATCAAGCATTGGAACAAGCTGCCCAGGGAAGTGGTTGGGTCACCAGCCCTGGGAGTATTTAAAAGTCACGTAGATGTGGTGTTTAGGCACATGATTTAGTGCTGGCCTTGACAGTGCTGAGTTAATGGTTGGACTCGATGATGTCAGAGGTCCTTATAACCTAAGTGATTCTATCGTGCTGTGACATAAAGTAAGAGTTGAAACTGTTTATCTGTTCAACACGGGGAATTCTCCTAACATAACATAACCGAGAAACACCCGAGAAAGTGTTATCTAGTGTTCGTTTGTCTTTTATGGTCCCAGCATGAGAGACACAGAGATAATCGTGGTACTTCGCAGTCCTCTTTCTCTTTCACACCTGCCTGGCCTTAAATGTAAGTGGTAAAGCCAAGATCCAGGAACTTTGCACTTTCTAGTTTCTGATGCACACATACTGTGTTGTGTTCTTTTTCATGTGTTGTTTTTCCAAAGAAGAAAAAATTAGAGAAGTTCTGGTTATTTTTCCACAAGGTTCTTAAAGGGTGATTGTGGGTTTTAGCTTCTATGACAAAACACAAGTGTATTTTTATACAATTTTTTCAAGTCAGTTAGTGAAAGGAACTTTCAGTTCTCAGGAGGGTTAAAGCTCTAGAAAATGTTGATTTTTTCCATCAAAAATCATTTTAGCTCGTAAGCTATTCTTTCCTTATCTTGATGGAAAAAAAATAAGATCATATTTCTAGATCAATAATGTTGAAAAACAGGAGCAGCAGCAATCATCCTGGATGCATGTTGTTTTCTGGTGCACTTTCATATGTGAGCATTTCCTCATGCTGTAAATATCAGCCTGCCTTCAACCTCACATCAAGCAACAGCAGAAAAAAAGAGGGGCTGTTTAAATGCAACAAGGCTTGGAAAAACCAATTTTTTTACAAGTGCCAGCATGTCAAAACACTGAAGGAAAATATTGAAGAGTACCAGTGTGCTTCCAGTTTGTCTCTTGCTGCATGTTTTTTCTATTGAATAATCACATCTTCCAGTGCCTAAAGCAGTAGTTCTTTGTATGTAATGTGTGCTTCAGGGCATTCAAGAAAAAAAAAAAAGATTGAAATTATCTGGAGGAAACAGAATCACTTTATTTCAAAGACAAATTAGATTGATCTATCTTATCATTCTCCATAGATTTCATAGGCTTGTTACTTGTTGAAGTGGTATCAGGCATTTTATATATTATAGCAATTTGCATACGTTCATTAAGCTGCACTTTGTAAAGCTCTCTGACAGGGGCATTTGATGAATCCTTCTGTGGACTGCATCGCTGCTTTATGTGGAGCAATCTGTTAAATCATGCCTTTGTCCTTCAGTTTGTCAGAATCAGTAAGTGAAGCAGATGTTAATAACTGTGGGAGAGTTTGGGGTTTTTTGGTGTTTGCAGAATATGGGATAATATGTGAAGGGCATATAATGTGTTTGTAAAAGCGACAGCTGGTGTTATTAAAGACAGAAAGTCTGCTACAAGTGAAAACTTTCTCTGGCATCTTGTAGCAACTCCAGGAGGTTTTTGGAACAGTCAGGTGGGTGGTCAATTCTAAAATAAACCCTGCTAATATTATGCACAGCAAATTGTGTGCTTGTAACTTAACACACAATTGTTCTTATCTTTGGTTGCAAACATTCTGTCACAGAGCTATCTTGGCCATGCAATAATTCATAGCATTTCTCTGTAAATATGTCGTAAGAGATTCTCAGGTCAACAGTCCCCTGAAATGTGTCTGTGAGAAATATAATTTCATGCATTGTCAAATTAGTAGGGTTTTACACCTGGTCAGTTTGAAGGTTACCTTTATGACCCAAGTTTTGCAGGACCTGACATTTTAGTCCCTGGAATCTCTACTGTCGAGGTCACTCGGCTGAAGAGGTTTCAGCCGGGGAGCAGCCTATGTTTAGGTGGTTAGCGTGCTACATCTGATGGGTGGTAATTCCTGTCAAGGTGTGGTGAGATGAGTGCTTGTTATCAACTGCAGAGGCCTTGCAAGTGAAGGTAAAATGGGCAGTCATAAATTGGGTAAGAAATGAAGGGGATAAATAAGAGGGAAAACAGCTTAGGGTGTGCCTCATGAGAGGCCAGCACAGATGGAGGTGCTGATCTCCTTTCCCTGGGGACCAGTGACAGGACTCAAGGACATGGAATGAAGTTGCAGGGAAGTTCAGATTGGGCGTTATGAAAAGGTGCTTCACTGAGTGGGTGGTCAGCCACTGGAGCAGGCTCCCCAAGGAAATAGTCACAGCACCAGGCTTGTCAGAATCCAAAGAGTGTCCGGACAATGCTCGCAGTCATTTGGCCTAGTTTTAGGTAGTCCTGCAAGGAACAGAGAGCTGGACTCAGTGATTCTTGGGTGTCTTCCAGCTGGAGATTTTCTGTGATTCTGTGTGGAAAAAGTTGTTACAAGGCTAACTGATGAAGAAGTAGAAAAAAGGAGGGACATTACTGTAGGTAATAAAGGGTAAACTTTGACCACCTTCTGATCGTGCAGATTTTTATTGGTATTATCTAATAAGTAGCTCCCACTCATTTTAGAAGTGATATTTTGCTGAGATTCACTTTAATGGCATTCTCTTTGTGATTATGCATTATTGTGGAAATCCCTTTTGGGGAATTGAGTAGGAGGTGCAAAGGGTGGAGATGTAGTGATGTTACTCGTGCCTGTGTGATTGAATCTGAGCTTCTGAGCCTGGCTTGTCTGCAGCTGACATCAACAGCAGCAATGGCTACACAGTGCATAGAATAAATAATCCTAGAAGTTGTCATGTTTGTAGTGATTGCTTGAAAATATGTAGAGAAGACCAGTGAGGGATTTCTGTTGTTCTTGCACATGAAAGTAGGCAACAGCTACAAATCAATGAACTGTTGCTTTTGTAAGAAGAATTGGCAGAATCTTTCATGCTGTTGCTGCATAAAAATTTCTACTTCTTCTATTCCTCAAAGTGAGTCTATCTTTCTGTCTGATTATCTTGCAAAAAATGAGCAGTGAAATAATTATCCATGCTGATATTTACATTTCATCTCTCTGCTTGAAAATTACCAGCTCACAGAAGGGAACAGAGGGAGTCCAGGACTCCTTGGGTGGGCTGATCCTTTGGAGAAGCAAATGTCTGCTCTTCAGCTGGGACACATAGGTGCTCCCAGCCAGGTGACCATTGATGCATGGTGGGCATAGACAATTCTGTAGCTGATTCTCTTTGCCTTCACAGGGAATCGTGTGGTAGGTACCAGTAGGACTGTTACTGTGGAAAGCTCAGGAAAAACTCTGTGGAAAGAAAAGAGACAAGACTTTTTTTAATATAGGCTCTTAATTATCTTTAAGAGCTGTGCCTGTGTGGCAGTCCTATGTGAAATGGTGTTTCTTGTTGCAGAATGCCAAGTTGCCAATAGTGCCACCAAAATACTCAACAGAGCGTGTGCTAATGATGGTGATTATGCAGAACAGAGATCAGACCAAGTGCATTTGGACACATGAACTTTCTTCCCATTTTTCCTTTTTTTTTCTCCTTTGTGTCTTTCCTTAATCTACTGAACCTATTTCTTTCTACTGCTGCATCTTCTTCCTTTTTGCTTTGTTAAGCACATCAGGTTTAATAAATGCATTATGCTCAGGGTCACTGTGTGAGAATCACAAGGAAAATTTACAGAGACTCTGGGACTAATTGTGATTAGGTGTTATATGTATCCTTACAAGGGTGTACATCCAGAATTTCACACCTGTAACAGAACTGCCATGTTCAGCATTTTTTGGACATTAAAGAAATAATGTACTTAAGGATACCCTTGATTTTTCATGTGGTTTCCCTATTCATGTCACTGTTCTGCTGCGAGCTAAAGGCAGAATACTCCTTAAGTGTACATAAGGATGCTTGTGGTTTCCTAAATAATTTATATTTTCTGATATGCCACTGGCAGTTTTTCATACTCAATATGTTGTGGTTTTGTTTTTTTTTTCATCACAAATGATTGTAGCAAAAATACTATTTGAAAATTTGGGGATTTTTTTTAGTTTTCTGCTAGTTTTGAACTCTTGTAGAAGTTGCTTAGAATCTATACAATTATATACCCTAAATGTAATGTGCTATAAATTACCAGGCCATCATTGTTATCACCCACAGCATGCCTCAGGTGATGCAAAGCTTCAGAAGGACTGGCTCGTGAGCTCATTTCTAAGTAGTAATTTTGCACAATATATATATTTTTAATTTTATATGCTTAAGTCATATACTTTTAATGACTTGATATATATGTAATCTTTTTCATCAGATCTTGGATTCTGAACTTGAAGCAGTTCTTCAAGATTATATGCTTCTTGAAACTCGGAAGGTATCTGCAATAAATAGGTATGTGTGATGGAAACATTCATGCTTTGTGTTGGATGGTTTGAACTGTGTGAGTTTTGTTGACAGTTTAATGCTGAGCTTCTTACAGCTCTTGATAAATCTCAGTTGCTGTGAACAGGACGGTGTGATGGATCTTTGCAGGCTGAATTTTCAACAACACATTGTAGGACAGAAATTTGGAAGGGTCTGATGTTCACAGTTGCTCAGAGATTAATGTTTAGCCAAACCCACAAACTTAACTTCATAGTGAACAAAAAGGTGAGTCTCAACAAGCAAGTAAGGAGTTTTGAAGGTAAAATCAGTGAGAGGAAGTGGCTCTTCTCTTGATCCCTCCCTACCTGAGGCTGTGCTTCATCTGGCTTTACATCTGTGTTTCCTTTGGGGCTTTTTTGCAACTGTTGAAGGTAGTAAAGGTATGAATATAACTAAATGTGGGAAGGAAATGACTATAAAGGTTGAAAACTTGGGTACATTGAAGTTCCTGGAAATTTTCTTCTTAGGTGTTTCAGTGGTGCTCACATCTTACTTCAATCATTTACAGAAAATATTCAGGCAATTTCAGAAATACATTCTTGCATATAACAAAGCAATTTTCAGGTGATTTCTTTTTTAAAAGTCAGGTCACACTTTATGGTTCTTGAAGCTCTGCTGAACTCCTAGCAATGGAGAAAGTTAAATGAGAGAAGATTTAGAAGTTCTTATTCTTCCAACGAGTTCATAGACCTGGGCAATTTTTTTGAGATTCAGTTCAGTTTGAAAGAGTGAAAGGTTTCTTGAATAGTGGATGTAACAGCTGGACTTACCTTGATCTGTGTGAGAAACTTTGAAGAGATTTAAAAATGGGGAGAAGTTAAATGCTTATGCATAAAATTCACAAAAATGGATTTTTGCACTATGTTGCTTATTCTGTAAGGATTTGAATGCAACATATCTTCACAGTGTGCTTCACCTATAGGTCCCAAGATATTTAGCAAAAGCTGGAGAAGAACCATTGTCTCCAGTTTATGCATGGGGCCTGGATCACCTATTGTCCTACTGCTAGAGCTCTTGGATGTTCAGACCTGTGTCCAGGCCTGTCAGAGGATCCCGTAGGAAGTCTAGTCATCCTTTCAGAGTGTGTGCAAAAGATCAATATTTCTGATGTTTATGTTTTCCTAATATTTCTCATATCTGTTGGCGTGCCCTTACTGCTCCCTTTTGTGATACATTTCTTGACTCATTTCTTCTGCTTTGTTTTCTACTTTGCTTTCTTATTTTGCTTTCCTATGTTTTCTCCTCTTCTTAATTCATTTGCAGTCTCTGGAGATTAGCTGTAGTGAGACCTTACGCAAGGAGGAGTTTCAGGAAAGAAAAATCATAGCGGAATGAGCTTCCCTTTTACTGCCTCTCTAGAGAGCCTGCTGTAAAAGGCAACTTGCTGTCATTCCTGTAAATTTTCTTCTGCAGCCAGCTCTGCTGGGTGTCCCCTTTGTGCCCTGTGAACATCTGTGTTGCAGCTTACGTCTGAACCCAACTGGAGAACAAATGTATGAACCTGCTTCTTATTTTGAGCAGGAAGCTGCTGCTATTAGTGAGGCACACGGCCCTGGTTCACCTGTGACTTCTGAATCCCCAGCTGGGAGAGAACCAGCTGCCTGGATTCTCCCTTCCTGCCAGCCGTGCCCTTGTCCCTGGGGTAGCAAGTTTACCTGCTTTCCTCCAGACACTGTCCAGTGCCTGTCATTTTGCAGCATTCATTTTCTCCCTGAATTTTCCCCAAGGTGTCATGCAGGAAGGAAGAAAGGAGTGAGCACTGCAGGACTTTGTGACATAGCTTGCTTTCTGCTGCTCCTGAAAACTTCTTGCATGCACACAGTCATGCAGGCACCACCCTTCTGCATAAGCAAGAAATCATTAATCCTTGAAGTATTCAGGCTCCAGGGATGATGGAGCAGAAGAGAAAGCTTCATTTGCTAGGCTGTGCATAGGGGTTCCAGGAAAAGTCGGCAAGATTCCTGTGCCAGTTTTGGACACAGCACAAGACAGCTCACTAAGCATAAATTAGGAACTTAAATTCAAAAAGACTTGCTTTACCCAACTTCTCACTTTAAAAGGAAAAAAAAAAAACAAACAACGGGGTGAAGAAAAAGAAGCAGCAGTGCTGCCCAGTTTGCAGAAGTGCTATCCCACTTGGGCGTGCTCAGGAATGCTTGAAGTGTATAGGTGGTGAACTGCAGTCTCCATGGCATATGCGTGTCTCCAAGAGAAAAAAGAAATCTGTTGTGTCAAGCTGGCTTCAGCTTATGCTCGAAGGGCTGTTGTGACAAGCCTGGAAGGTGCAGGAACTTTTGTGAAAGATCAGGTGTGATAGCAGAGAGTGAATGTAACACCTGGGGGAGGAAGCTGGAGTATTTGAGGTCAGGCTAAGACGGCAGCCATCAGCAGGCAAGGGAACACAGCTGACTTAGCAAGAGCATGCACCAATTCAACAGCTTCCCTCAGATATTTGGGTTGGAGCAACTCAAAATTAGCAAATTCCTGGCTGACGTTGCTGAAAAGGCTACTGGACAACTTTGTTTTCCTTGTCATTACATGAGCTCCCTTGTGGTAGAAGGGTATGTGAGTTTCAGAGCTTTTCAAGCCAGGTTAGAAAAAGTTGGCCCCTTTCTTTCCAAAACTATCCATCAAGGCAGTCCCAATGCGCCACAGACATCTCTGGGTGTGTGAATCCTGTGCAGGCAATGGTCTCCCTTGTTCGTTTTGTGAATGCATTTGTTATGGAGGGAATGGCTGGTCTGGCTGATTGTATGGCTGTAAGTGCTGAACAGCAAAAATTTTTAAACAAAAAAATCTGGTCCTCTTCAAACATTGGCGGACAGATATCTGTGTTCCATCTGTGGCAGCCTGTGCCAAACAGCAGAAGAACTGCAAAGTTTGTGCTCTGAAACCTCAGAGGAATAACTGGCATGGTCCAACTTTTTTTTTTTTTTTTTTTTTTTTTTAAAACTCCCACAAATTTAAAAAAAAAAAAAAGAAAATTAAACTTCACACAAATCTGAAACATTAAACACAGAACTGGGAAGTTCAGCTGGGAGGGCTGTGCATGGAACAAAGCCCTGGCACAGGCCATGGAACCCCTCAGCACTGCTGCATGGGCGTTGCTGTCGAGTGACAGCAGGCAGCAGTCACCCATTGTGGAGGCAGTCCTTTGGCTGTCCCCTCCTGTAGGGGCCAGGGAGGTGGCTGGTAGTCTTGAAGTCATGTATGGCTCCGAAGAGCCCTCCAGAGCTGCAGAGACTTACACCATGTTGAGATGTGACACCTGGAAGGGGGACACTGAATACATACTCTGTATCAACTAAGCAAATTAGTTTTCTTTAAAGAAAAAGAAGGCATTCTGATCAAACAAATAACTTTCAGATACAACCTGTCAGGAAATAGTCTGAATTCTGCACTGAGCTTTCTTAAACACACAAATATTTTACCTCTTTGGAAATACTTTCAAACTTTTTGCTTAGTAGCATTACCAGGAAAAAGTAATGCATGGATCTTCTGTTCTGTAACCAGTAGGGAAGTAGTACTTCTGCCTTATCTGACCAGGATTTGATAGAAAAGTTTCTCTGGACACATTGCTGGCTTATGTTCAGCTGGCTGTCAACCAGCACCCTGAGGTCCTTTTACACCAGGCAGCTTTCCAAACCATTTTTCCCAAAGCCTGTAGCATGGGGTGGTTGTGACACAAGAGCAGGACCCAGGACTTGGCCTTGTTAAACCTCATACAATTGTTCTTGGCCCATCAATCCAACCTGTCCAGATTCCTCTGCAGAGCCTTCCTGCCCTCCAGCAGATCGCCATTCCCACCCAATTTAGTGTCCTCTGCAAGGAGACTGAGGGTGCACTTGATCCCCTTATCCAGACCATTGATAATGATATTAAATGGAACTGTTTAATCAATTCGACTGGGATATTTGTTCTGTTCTTGTTCTTACTTGAGACTGCATCCAAAAAGGACTGTTTTCATTGAGCTTGAAGCAGTCTCATGGAGCAGCTGGGAAATAAAGCAGGACTGTGCATCAGCCATTATGAACTGGGCAGTCAGTAGCAATTTGCTTTGGTTAGGGAAAGTGTCAGCTTTTAGCAGTTCCCTGTTAATTTTTAATTTGCTTCCCCATCTAGGCGTACTGTGTTTTTGGTAATATGCACCTCTGCTGTGTCGTCCCTTTTATCAATCAGAGTTATTTTGCTTTTCTGACTTGGCATGGTGTTGCATCTATTTGTCTCCTTTGGCAGAACTAGGAAAATGTGTGTTTACGATAGGTGATTACAAGGACAGCGCTTTTGCACTTAGGAGCAACTTCTCCTAATTCACTGGAGCAGTTGTTGCCGAATCCCACTGCTAAACATGCCGTACACTACCCAGTAACATATGGTGTTAATAATTGAGGATGTCAATAATGGGTGACACAATTGTCAGACTTAAAAAATAAAGCACTAATAAGGAGCTTTGAAATAGTCTTAAGATTGGCTGCTGTTTGTTACACCATTAATTCTGAACAGGAGTTTAATTCCAAGTGCAAGAGAATGAAGGCACTTCTGCTTAAATGGATTAATGAGTTTGAGTATGGAAGAAAGCAGCAGTCCCCTATGTGAGTGTGTTTTGTCCATGTTACATTGCTCACCTAGCTGGCTGTCACCTGCATGGATCATTTCAGTAGACCTCCCAAACCTCCCCTGCAGAGTCACTGCCTGTCGCTACATCCTGTGCATGCATGGGGCGTAGATGGTAAATGTCCAAGTCGGATTTTTAGCTTGAGCACTTAAGAAACCAATGCCAACAATGAAGAAAATGGATACAAGCTGCTGTTGGTTCTGTTATGTTTTTGCTTGAGGAAAATGTTTCCAAATTGGAGAGGCAGGTGCACACTCGTGTGGTGCTTTTTGTGCAGATACTAATGATTCCTCCCGTGCATCCCAATGTGTGTCCCTATTCACTGTGCAAGGGTTGCATCTGGAATCCTACC